AGAGCCAGGCCTAGACTTAGGTTAAGCTTCCATGTAAACAATTGTGGTAGGCAACCTAGGGTGATCACACAATTGCAAGTGTATGAGAAGCTTATTTGAAAAGCAAGAACAGAAAGGCACGGTGCTCTGTACTAGTGTTAATGGGTGGAGATGGGAGTATTTATCACAAAGCTGTCTGAGTACCTGTTCAAAGTTACTGAGGAAATGCTGTAGGCAGGCTTTTAAATTTGTACAGGAAACCCCAAACTAATTCTGCTGTGAAGAAATTGCTATTAGTGTATTTTTAAGTATATAAACCTTACATATTTGTAATGCTTATCACAGGGAAAATGCAGCATATTCTGTTTGTCTGTAGTACTTGTCTGCAAATAATTTCCCAACCAGTGCCATTGTTTGCAAATATTGGATATTCGTAAAATATGCCAGGCTAATTATTTGTGTATATTAATTTTAGTAGTCACCATTTGTGGCTTAGCAATTAGATGCTATTAGATTCACTATTCAGTGAATCTAATTTAATACGTTTCAAAAATTGCTTTGCTGAGTCAGAGCTCAGATAGTATAACCTTCTTAACTGGAAAATAATGGAGAATAAGTTATGACTGGTGGATAATGTCACCTTGTAATTACTAAATAAAACGTATGGATATTTAAATGTTGTTCTAATTGAATATCAATCACTGAAATCTTTTTGAATGCCAAATAATATGATCTCTGAACACCAATGAGCAAAATCACTTATTCCAAAATAATATATATCTCTGTCATTGTTAAACTGATTATAATACTAATCTGTGCTAATAAATTAATTTAATTCCCAGCCCTTTCAATACCCTTTATAAAGTATCGTGTCTGTAACTCAGGAATGCTTATTTTATTATAACCCTAAATGTTTTTATTAATAGTGAAACAAGGAAACCTTTACAATTACTAAATGAATAAGTTTAGATCATACTAAAAATCTATACAAAGCAATTAAAATGCCGGTTTTCATCTTAAGCAAGTTTATAAATGTTTTAAATCTCTTCTAGGCCATTCTTGTGTTAAAACCATTTTTTTTTTAATTTAAAGAAACTATCCAAATATGAAAAATTCATGTAAACAAATGTCTAAGTGTGAGGCAACACCATGGTTTATGAAATATCAATAAGAGCAAAGTAATGCTCCCTTGGAAGAAAAAAAAGAAAGAAAGGTTTCATAAGATGCAAGGGTATCATTTTAAAAACAGCTGGTAAGGTGAGGCGAGGAAAGGCTGGAGGCAGAATCTGAGCTCATTCTGAAGGCAATGAGCTTTTTGTCATTCTGAATGGTGTATGTCATCAAGCTGTTTCATATTACATCATCAGCAGAAGATTTTTCACGTGCTTTCAAAATCTGTCACATACTCAACTTAGCTAGCATTATAAGCATATGTAAAGAAGAATGTTAACTTTTTACTATAAAGCCTATTCAGAAGTTTAAACAAAACCTCTAGGTTTTGTTAATAAACCAGACTTTTTCTTTCTAACCTGAAAGGCAATCAAAGAATTGCTATAGATACAGCACTGTATAGCAAGTATCAATACTAACTAATGAGTGATAATGACTAGTTCTTATTATTAAATTACATTAACTAACAATAATTAACATGGTGCTGCACTGGCATGTCACCAAGTTGACAAATGAAAAAACGTTGCAAACTAAAAAAGACTGTCTTCGAAGTTTAAAACAGACAGAAAGGTCAAGTAGGCAGATAGCTTTTTCGTAATTCAATTGTAATGACTAAACATTCAGGCAGTGATACCTGCACGTATGCTGGAAATTATGTCAGAAGTCATTAATAGTCCAGATCTAAGCAGTTTTCCAAAAGTTTTAAATAGTCAGCTTCGCTTTGTTTGTTCTCTTGCATTTTATAAGGGATGCTTTTCCAGAATATGGTATTTATTTTGTGGAAGAGTGACTTGAAATAAAGATGACTTCCAGTTAATATCTATCTGACAGATCTGATACTGACATATAGACAGAAGGTTCTGACAATTTTAAAATGTAATAAGATAAAGCAGTGCCAGTGTTGCCATCTGAGTGTCTTCCCACAGGAAAAAGCTACGTGAAACATTATTTTTATGTGATAAATGGTGATCATGGTTGTTGTCTCAAAATCTTTTTTTTTTTCCCAGTCTAAAACATATATGTGCAGTTGGCAAGGGGATAGCCTGTGTTTCACAGTTGACTTTGCTCTGGGATTTACCTGTTTTGACAGTAAAACAAAGGTAAGAATTAAAAGGAAAGAAAACACAACTCTGTTTTATTTTACTATTATTGAAATTTTTATTAACCATAAATTTTTATGTTGATCAGTAATGGTCTTTTTTTATGTTGATGAGTATTTCTTCCTCAGTAGTGAACTTTTTGTTTATACAGCACTACTGAAATGTAGTCAGTTTGGGACTTGACAGGCACAATTATAGTCGTGCCTTAGCATGTAAAGATAAATTTTGGGGAAAGATATAAAAAAAGTAATTTTCTTTTCAAGTAATAAAAGCAAAGGAATGTTGTATTTAGCAGAGAACTTGGTTTCTTACAATGAAGAAACTTCAAGATTTTTAAAAGATTACCAGTCATGAAAGAAATGAAGTGTCACCTGATTTTATTTGTTTTGAAGCTTCAAATATAAAGTAGGTTCAATTATTCTTCCATCATAAGAAATGTAGACCATGTCTAAAATAAGCAAAACAAGGGCAAATGAATTTCAAAATCATAATTTTTAAGATTAAATTCACCTATCATATGAAACAGTGGCTATATATAAAGTGCCGATGGGATAATTTACAATACATGCCAACTTCTAAACTCTGTCTATAATTCTACTGTTTTCTATATAATCTAGTGATACTTTTATTTAAATTGTTATGAATGGATATATACATTTTATTGCCAGTAGAAGCAAACTTACATACATAAAATGTTAATGCATTAATAGAGCTGTACAGTAGAAGGTCTGTCTGAAATATGGTCTTTACCTCCAAACTGAAAGGATTTTTTAAAGGTATATTAAAGAAATTCAATCAGTCATTCTGAGATAAGACGAAACATACTGAATTTTTAAATGCTGCCACAGGATCTAGTTTTTGTGTGTACAAGTACATTAATTTTTCATCTATGTGAGAGATGGTGCATCCTCAAGCCTGAGTGAGGCAGTAATGCGTGGCTTCTGTAGTTCATCTTATTTCCGATAATTGTCAGATGGAGATAACTGTGTTGCCCCATAGTCATAGTTTTTTCAGGGTATTTCCTAGCAACACTGAATAGATTGGTAAAGTGGTCAAGCAATTATAACAGTTCATCAGGGACACAGAAATTTTGCTGAAAAAATATTTTTTCTTTGACATAATGAATTTCAAATTAAAGTCACCTACTGATGCAAAGAATGCTCTTACACCACAGCAGGTGTTCATACAGGCTTATTAAAATAAAGGCCAGTCCCCTGTCTGCTCCAGGACTCTAAGACTGGATCTCAAATTTTGAGCAACCAGCTCATGTGCTTATTAAAAATATTCTTTTTTACAGGCTGGGAAACAACATAAAAGGGGCCTTCTTATTAGAAATAATGAAACAAAAAGGATAAGAACTTTTGCTTAGGAGTATGATGGGTTGACCATGGTTGGATACCAGGTGCTCACCAAAGCCAGTCTATCATCCTCTCCTCAACTGGACAGGGGGAGAAAAATACATTTAAAGGCTCATGAAATTGAAATAAGGACAGGAAGAGATCTTTCATTGGTAACCATTATGGGCAAAATATGGCTCAACTTGGAAAAATTAATTTATTACTAATAAAATCATAGTAGAATAATAAGAAATAAAACCAAATCTTAAAACACCTTCTCCCTACCCTTCCCTTTTTCCCAGGCTTAACTTTACTCCCAATTTTCTCTACCTCTCCCCACCAGTGGCACAGGGGGTCAAGGAATGAGAGTTGTGGTCAGTTCATCACTCATTGTCTCTGCCACTCCTTCCTCCTCAGGGGGAGGACTCATCACTCTTCCCAGCTGTTTTATTTGTTTAAGAAGTCAGTGATATTTAAATCTGCAGGGAACCAGGAGATGGAATAAGGCTTTGTATGCCTTCTGTAAACACATTTTTATTTATAGGGCATTTCCTTTAAAACTATGAGTAGTGTCTGAAGACCACTGGTAGCACTGATCTACATGAAAAAATATTTTGCGATGTGGTATATTGGAAAATGGAACATAGCAAACTTTTTTCTGTGTGTGCTTTTGAAATCCCCTTTGAAGTATTTAAATTGTGTTTCTTCAGCAGTGTCCAGAGACTGAGTCACATTTCAACAGATACATAGAATTTTCATTAAGATTATAGGCATAAAGGAAACATCAGCAGGAAAAATGCAAATTGTTACCTTGTGTTTTTTTAAACTTGCATATTTTCAGGTGATCAATAGAAAACATTAAAATAAATACTGAAAATTACATTGGTTTCAAAAATAATTTTCCATTATTTGTTTTTAAGAAGTATCTCCATAACTACTAAAACATATCTGTCAATCTAGGATTTGCCAACAGTAGTAAGATGCCAGGCATAAACCTGGAAGGTACCAAGAAGCCTATAATTCTTATATATTTTACAAACAACTATATAATGTAAAAGTATTTTTATGGTTTGCAAGGCTACATTCAATAATATCTTTGCATTTCTGTAGCTTATTTTATCTGAGGATTTCAAACCACATTATACACATCAGTAAATACAGCTTTACATCATCTGTATAAGACATTCTTATCTATGTTATGCAGATGAACCAGGTGAAACATGAAAGATCAAGATGTGGTGTAGAACTATGTGTATAGTGAAGCAGATACAAACATCCCCACAGGTCTTTCTAGATGCCATGGATTTTGATGTTATATAGGCAACTGAAATATTTACATTTCACATGATTTCTAAATAATTGTTTCATTAGTGACTATAAATATTCAATCTTTTGCTTTCACATATGACACAGAATTGTTAATTTTATTTGCTCTGCAACCAGTCTGTTATAATGTGCTATGTTTACTTTCTTAATGCTTTATCTCAATATATAAACTTCCATCATCAATTTACAGTTCTAGGTAAAAGTGTGTAACAGAGTCCTTAATCATATTTCTTTCTCTTCAGAACGTACTGTGGAGGTTTAAATTCTCTCAGCTCAAAGGCTCTTCAGATGATGGGAAAACAAGAGTAAAGCTGCTATTTCAGAATCTAGACACCAAACAAATTGAGACAAAGGTAAGTAACAGCCTCTTTCTCAGTTTAGTGAAAAATGAAATGGAGTAACTAGCAAGGCCTCAAAAATTCTATTTACTGCTGCACATGCATATGATGAACTCCACATCACAGTTTATATTTTTTTCCTGTTTTCTGGAAACCTCACAGTAAATGGAAGTAATGTAGTATTTATAGATCTATTACACTATTTGTACAAGTCTGTTACTGAGTTGTGTTAGGATGCTGTTTTACTGTTTCAGAAAGATGACTTCTGTGAAGTTGTTTAGTCAACCTATAATAGAATCATAGAATAGTTAGGGTTGG